CCATGCTTGTGAATTAAGGTATATCGAGGCAATACGCACAGTATTCACATATGCCAATTAGAGACTGACCAGTTGCAGTCCTAACAAAATCGATGGGAAGATTCAAACAAACAATACTAAGTGAATTTAAACTTCACCCCATCGCACAAGTAAGTGGCTATCAGGACTCAATGGCCGAGTGGATAACGCGATGTATATATAATACAGTCGTGTAATAGTATCCTAATATAAGTGTACTTGTTTATTCAACGCATAGTTCTCTATTTGACATTGATGAATTTTAACAGCTGTAAAAACAAGTTCAGCAAAGAATCACCCTCGTATCTATGTATACATAGAAAATATTCTTCTTTTTTTATTCATTTACATCTTATTCATTCACTATCTATTTAACCTCTATAATCCCACTCTGTTTTTCTTTTCCTTTGTGTATTTAACTGTCAAACTTACACTGATTTTGAAGGTACGCCCTTTTTAACTATCTAACATGTAGATTTACCTTATTCTTTCACACTTCCAATAAACTTTGTTGTTTTGCCTGAAAAACTTAGTAAGGGGGTACATTTATATACTACTTAATTCGGATATATATTAAAATGTTTACAATTCTCAGAAATTTCTTTGGCAAGTTATCTATCCTTTTTGAAAAGAAATGAAATGCATTTTCTTTGCAGATTACATCTGTTTAAATGTAAATTTAAGTGTGAATCTATATGTGTTCATACATTTTTGGCATAATCATACTCTGTTGTAAGCTTGTACACGTATTATCATGTCATATTATGTCATAAATAGTTTAGTAATGCCCGACATGATGACCTTATCACTATGATTACAAGTTGTGTTGGAGAAATGAATGAAATAGGTATACTTCATAAATTGAATAATATATACCCCTGTATCATATCAAGAATCCTACTTACTATATAATTATGATACTTTGATGAAATTATTCTCGTTTTACCTAGAGATTACATTTTCATTCCATGTTACATAACAACAACAATATTGAATAAATATACAGGAGTAAGTAAGTATTGTGATGATGATAGTTGTAAGTCATTATAGAAAAGCGTTAATGTATAAGAAAGATGTACAAGAATGGTGTATAGTGGATAGATGAATGGATGATTAAAATACTATTTGTATTTACAATTATTAAACTTGTCAAACTTGTCAGAATAGTGAAATGTAACATTTTGTTTTCTGTATGTTCTTCGTCTAAGATTAAAATGACAAAAAAACGATGATTTTACTTTAGATAATAGTAATAATACTAATTTCAAATTTACTTAGTATTGTTTGTTTGAATCTTCCCATTGATGTTGATGATGAATGGCTATCAGGACTCAATGACCGAGTGGATAACTTGATGGCGTTTGAAGCGAAAGGTGCTGGGTTCGAGTCCCAGAGTGAACATCAACTGTGAGGTGTGGCAGGTACATCCAGCTGATGAGTCCCAAATAGTACGAAACGTGCGTCAAACTGGACTCCACTGCTAGCTACTATCCATCGTTGAATACTAATTTCAGTTAATATTATTTATTCATTTGAGGGAGTAAAAGTATTTTTAATGAATTATACGTATACTACTAACAAAAGGTTACAATTTTTACGTATTACCAATGTTTTCCAATCTACATGTTGTAGTGACGATAAGGAAAACCCTATCAAACTATGAGTAAATTTTGTTCCGCGATTCCTGTAGCTTACAATGATTTAGAAGATGAATAGAGAGTCGGTATTTGACAGCGGGTGTATTTGAAGCATTACTCGTATACAGTTAAGTGGTCAATGTGTAGGTTGTGTGAAGATTATTAAATTTTATACACGAAAAATAGCAGCAGTCTTCCATAAAGATACTAACATTTTTTCCGAGTTATGTGTCGAATCCTTGTCTATGTATGTATAATAACTTATTTCGAAGCTATTTTTATATCACTACTCACTTATTGGCCTACAATTGGTGGAACCTAGGATGTTTTGTATATCGCATGATCTTCATCCGTTTGTATTGTTTGGTAACTTCCATAGCTCTGATTTGGTTAAATTCGCACACTTTCTATAATTCTTTGGCTAATATCAGTTTGTAGTAAAAATAACTCTCAAAGCGTATGAAATAATTCTGAAAACCATCTATTCGAATTAACTAACTAACTAACTAACGCCTGTTATCCTCATTAGAGCATAGGCCGCCAACCAGCATTCTCCGACCCACTCTGTCCTGGGTCTTCCTTTCTAGTTCTATCCAATTTTCGTTCATTCTTCTCATGTCTGTCTCTATTTCTCGGCGTAATGTGTTCTTTGGTCTTCCTCTTTTCCTTTGACTTCCAGGATTCCGAGTGAGAGCTTGCCTTGTAACGCAGTTGGGTGCTTTCCTCAAAGTTTTTCCTATCCACTTCCGGCGCTTTTTCCTGATTTCTTCCTCCGCTGGAATCTGGTTTGTTATCTCCCACAGTAACTTGTTGCTGATAGTTTCTGGCCAACTGATCTGAAGTATCTTGCGTAGACAACTGTTAATAAACATTTGTATCTTCTGGATGATGGCTTTCGTAGTTCTCCAGGTTTCCGCCACATACAGTAGAATTGTCTTGACATTTGTATTGAAAATTCTAACCTTGGTGTTGGTTGACAATCGTTTCGAGTTCCAGATGTTCTTCAGTCGTAAATATGCTGCTCTTGCTTTGCCGATCCTCGCCCTCACATCTGCATCTGATCCACCGTGTTCATCAATGATGCTGCCCAGATATGTAAAGGTTTCCACATCCTCCAAGGCTTCTCCGTCAAGTGTGATTCCATTGGTACATGTTGTATTGTATCGGAGAGTCTTGCTTTTCCCTTTGTTTATATTGAGACCTACTGTTTCTGAGGCTGCTGCTACACTGGTCGTACTCGCTTTGGCAGTACATATACTAAAAAAAGCAGAGTTATAAATTAAATTAAATCTTTTTGACTAAATATGATACTATGTAAACAGACAACAATCTGATTAGAAATGCATTATTATCAGTGATTAATAGGTATATATTTTCGACTGTAGAAGTTTTCGGTTAGCTATACTTACACTACATAATACATATGCTAGATAAGGTATTGTAGAGAATTTATATTTTTCCTTTATGTTCATGAAATTCAATGTCACTATGTGTCTCTCTTTCTTCCCCAAGATTTACGAAGATAAAGTTCTAAGTAGAATCGGTTTGATTTTATTTTTATTAAAGATAGCAATTGGTAGTCGTTTACGAAATTTCAATGAGGTTGTAAATGTTCACTGACTGAGACGGGTGGAAATACATTACGTAAGTCCTACAACCGCCTAACTCGATGAGCAATGATGCCTGGTATAGAGAAAGGTCAGAGAGACACTAGGGGCAGCCAGAGCAAGTTGTGGGATCAATCCATGAAGTTGGTGACCGATGATCTGAACCGTATCTGTAGGTGTAAACCACATAGTTATGGTATAAGCGACAGTCCCACTCAATTAGTTGTTGAACATGTTGGGTGACATGGCTCCATAACTGTTCAGTTCCACTCACTAGTTGTCTTATTCGAAATCTTCAGTCCCATTATTCCTTCATGAACACATTTTCATTGTCTCCATAAATCACATTTTGAACATATCTTTTTCCATTGTCATTGTAACTACATTACTTCTATTTCTTCCCTATTCATCTTTTTGTTTTTTCAATCTCATCGTGCTACTGTGGTACTATCAACTTCACCCAACCTATATATGTTCCAGACCGTATGTTGATTGTGACTGATTGAAATCCCTATTCACACTCATATTTACAAGAAAATCAAAAGATTTACAATCTCTCTCATTAAAAATTTTTAATTCTCCTTGAAACATGGCACAATCCTTTTTCACAAATCCGTGAAAAATAAATACGCTAAGATAAATGATATCCATCATAAACTTCTAAACAGAATCATCAAGATTGATCAAATCCGATCCTAATGTTCAATATTGTCTCATGAATAAATTAACTGTATGATATCTAGGTGAAGTATGATTAGATTGGTAGAATAACTGTTGTATTTCTAAACAGTCCAGTTATTTCAAGTTTACTACTTAATTATTTTACTTGTACATTCAGTAAGTTAATTACTGGTTATGTAATATCTGAGGCTATAAGGAATTTATCAGGACCCTAAACAAATTCATATTTACTATCATTAAATAAACGACACTTTCTTAGCTTCATGTGATGTTGGAACACACACACACAAACGAACAACACTCCAGTAATCTTATGCTTATGCATTTTCCTTCCGTTGTAACAATGAGTTACATATCGACATTTGTTGTTGTTATCTACTAAAAATAACATTTTATTTACCAATTAAATGATCCTAACATCTAAATAATAACTACAGAACTACAATATCGAATTCGGTACAACATCATACATCTTTATGAGTAACAGATCTGCATCATTCAATTTATGACCTCTGGATCGGATGTTCAAACTCTACACCACTTATGTCAATTTAGACAACAAGGTATAAAATATAACTAAAATTAATCATCATGGAACACTGACTTCTGCGAATTGGACTTGTTTTACGAAAACCATCCCAACTATTTTCGTATCGATTATTATTTGCTGATGCTTGGACTGGGCGTAAGGGGAGGAGAGATAGTCAGTATATGACACGGTACCGTGGTATGTAAAATAGCTTTATGAGACAAACGTCCATCACGACTCTCTGACTGGGGTCTTAGAGGTAGTCCAATCCAATGGCTTGAGATGTTATTAACTACTGTTCAGAATGAAAGCTATTAGAGATCTTGTTGTATTTTTTTCACACTTCATAAAAGTTGAAGGACCTCCCTTAGGTGAAAGAAAGTACTTCTTGGTTGTATTTCTAAGTGAACTATAGCTCCCATTATATGCTGTTCTTGTTCACTTATAGAAATGACAGTATGTTGAGTAATCATTCTGTTTAGCTTCTCTTTTTCTCTACTTCTCTTGATTACATTTATGTGCATATAGCACGGACCGATGGGTCAATAATTGAAGGACCTCATATTATCAATGAGACAGTTGAAGCCGGTCAAGATGCGATATTTCACTGTCAAGTCAATCCCGACGAACATCGATCAAGTACTATCAGAGTAGGTTATGTTCTTATGTTCTTTTTTTCTCTGTATATAATTAACAACTGTATTTGTTAGAAGAAAGAAGATATTTAGAAATAACCGTATAAACTACAGAAGATAATTGTTTGGTTGAGTGTTTTGTAAAGACGATTTCAATTGGCAGAGAGTTTTTGTCACGAATTGACACTAGTTGAGAAGCCATTGAAAAAGCAGTTAGTATTAGATGGCTGATTCATTTTAGTTTACAGCTCCTGATCAGTTTACATTGACAACTTCATGAAGAAATGAGTTTGGGACGTTCAGGCTTCTAGATAAGCAAGTTACCTTTCAATGTTTTGGTTGAAATTCGGATGTTATTTTATGTCACAAAATGATTGAAGCTGGATTTGTGAACTAGTGGATTATAGTTCCCAACGGTCCCAATTTGTTATTACTCCCTTCGAGATATCTATGTCGTAGGTACACTTATGTATGAATCAGTGTGTATGCACTACTGAGGAGAGTCCTAAACGAGGACAAAAGAGTTTTTCAGTACACCCCGGCATTCTATGAATCTCTAGTTCATGTCAGTCTTTGGTGAAAACTATTTTCAGATTATAATGTTGGCAACTCGGATTAGATGTAATTTTTTTCATGACATATGTTCATAGGATCAGGGAAATCTTAGAATTGAAAACGTCTGAATACTAACTACATCGTCATGATTTGATGGGGTGCAATATCACTTTGTACGATTAGAATTATGTTTAGTTTTATGGTCAACTTTAATAAAATCTAATGACCAACTAATAATTAGTTGACTTACTCATTTACTTACTTAGTATACTTATATCTCATTATAAATGATTTTATTATTGGTCTTAACTGGTTGATGTTTTCATTCTGGAATTTTGGATTAATATGAATAATTGGTTTTAAAATGAACCATTGTCGTTACCACGGTAACACCTTGATTATAATATTTAACAATAACAATAATAAAAATGATGAATAAACAAATAAGTTTTGATTGACAATTTATGCTAATACTATAGTGTGTGTGTGTGTTTCTATTCATTATGTTACCAGTATTGTTATAACACGATACTACTTAGTCCAAGTTAGTAAGACCTGGTTCCATCAGAGTGGAAAAACAATACAAAGTTAATAAGTATTTTTGTGGTATTTATTATAAATAAATAAATAAATGAATAATCATTTAAATCATATTAGCATTTAAAGTTTAGCTTATATTGATGGTAATATGAAATGAAGGAAACGGGTAATAAAGATAAGGAAACTGACAGGATAAATAACCTTCAGATAACCTACTACTACTACTACTACTACTACTACTACTACTACTACTACTACTACTACTACTACTACTACTACTACTACTACTACTACTACTACTACTACTACTACTACTACTACTACTACTACTACTACTACTACTACTACTACTACTACTACTACTACTACTACTACTACTACTACTACTACTACTACTACTACTACTACTACTACTACTACTACTACTACTACTACTACTACTACTACTACTACTACTACTACTACTACTACTACTACTACTACTACTACTACTACTACTACTACTACTACTACTACTACTACTACTACTACTACTACTACTACTACTACTACTACTACTACTACTACTACTACTACTACTACTACTACTACTACTACTACTACTACTACTACTACTACTACTACTACTACTACTACTACTACTACTACTACTACTGCTACTACTACTACTACTACTACTACTACTACTACTACTACTACTACTACTACTACTACTACTACTACTACTACTACTACTACTACTACTACTACTACTACTACTACTACTACTACTACTACTACTACTACTACTACTACTACTACTACTACTACTACTACTACTACTACTACTACTACTACTACTACTACTACTACTACTACTACTACTACTACTACTACTACTACTACTACTACTACTACTACTACTACTACTACTACTACTACTACTACTACTACTACTACTACTACTACTACTACTACTACTACTACTACTACTACTACTACTACTACTACTACTACTACTACTACTACTACTACTACTACTACTACTACTACTACTACTACTACTACTACTACTACTACTACTACTACTACTACTACTACTACTACTACTACTACTACTACTACTACTACTACTACTACTACTACTACTACTACTACTACTACTACTACTACTACTACTACTACTACTACTACTACTACTACTACTACTACTACTACTACTACTACTACTACTACTACTACTACTACTACTACTACTACTACTACTACTACTACTACTACTACTACTACTACTACTACTACTACTACTACTACTACTACTACTACTACTACTACTACTACTACTACTACTACTACTACTACTACTACTACTACTACTACTACTACTACTACTACTACTACTACTACTACTACTACTACTACTACTACTACTACTACTACTACTACTACTACTACTACTACTACTACTACTACTACTACTACTACTACTACTACTACTACTACTACTACTACTACTACTACTACTACTACTACTACTACTACTACTACTACTACTACTACTACTACTACTACTACTACTACTACTACTACTACTACTACTACTACTACTACTACTACTACTACTACTACTACTACTACTACTACTACTACTACTACTACTACTACTACTACTACTACTACTACTACTACTACTACTACTACTACTACTACTACTACTAAGGGACCTATGTTAGACATTAACACCGTTGGATGCCGGGCAGCTCAGTGGTCTAGAGGTTAAGTGCTCCTGCACGAGACCGGTAGGTCCTGGGTTCGAATCTCGCTCGCGAGGCGGGATCGTGGATGCACACTTCTGAGGAGTCCCATAATAGGACGGAACGGCCTTGAAGCAGTGCTTCCAGATTTTCGATGGTGGTCTAGCTTCAACTGATTAATAATTTCGACTATGAAAACTTGTATATCTCTCGTTCAGGTTAAAATAAATTAATTCTCAAGGAATATGTTCACTATCATCAATTGATAGATTGTGTATTCCTAAAAGGCGGCCTATGCTCCAATGGGAGTAACAGGCGAAAGTAAGTAAGTAAAAGTTGAATGACGTGACAAAGTGCTCACTTGCATACAATTACTTAATGCTCATAGTTATAAGAAAAAGTAATTGTTGATTCTCATAGTTGAAATCACGAGTCTATCTAAGCTGTTGTTGATTAACTTAATAATGATGTTTAATTACGTCATGTTAGTGATTAGTGTTGATATGGTATTAGTATTTACTTATCATCAATGTATGGTTTCAACCATCGTTGAAATATGCAAATAATTTAATTATACACCACAATTATTTATTATCTATATCTTTTTCTATAAACATATTTTAGTGGGGTAAAAGTATAGATAATAATGAACGTTTAGCTTATGAAGCCGAAGGAAGAGAGGTTATTCAATGGGCTGGTGGGACATTTGTTGTTCTTCCAAGTGTACCATCTTCATTAGCTTTAAATTATAATTCAAATATGCCATCAGACAATTTGTTTCCATCTAAACTATCAGCCCTAAGACCTTCATCTTCATCCTCTTCTGCATTATCATCATCATCATCATCATCGTTGTCGTCGTCATCATCAGTGGCAGCAACACTACCTTCGGGTGCTGTAGCTACTGAAGTTTCATCAAGTCAAAGTAGTCAACTTGTATTAAGACAAGCTAGTCAATCAGATTCTGGACGATATGTGTGTTCTGTATTAACTGAAGCTGGACGAGATGATCATAAATTTGTTCAAATATCTGTAGTTGGTAGGTTTGATTGATTAAATTTCATTTTTCTATTTGATAGAGCTTCTTTATAAACTTCTATGTAATTCAGAATAACTCCTATTATATTGAGCACTACGTAAACGTATATTACAAAAAATTGTTTAATGTAGATCTTCGAATGTCCCTGAAGATGTTCCGATGGTTAATACTTCCACATTTTTCATAGTATAAGGGAACATTTACTAAAGAACATGAAGAATCTGTATCAGTAATGACGGTCAACATTGACGAGTGATTACATACTTCAAGGGAATTATGTTTACGTCCAGTTTGCTAGTTTTAACTTTATACATTTTTTCAAGTCTATCAGTACTAGAGATCTGTGGAGCAAAGAGATATATGCTCTTAGTACAATCGAATTTTCATATTCATTCTTCCCATCCTCAAGAAAGTGACATTACTTGAGATATTTGTTATCAATAGAAAACACCTTACTGTCTCCACCACCAGATATAGTTAGCAATACGACTTCATCTTTTAACTTTAAATTTACTGTTCTTAGTTTCACCCCTCTCCATTCAGCCTGTCTGGGATGAAAAGACTTCAACGTACAGAAGTTTTAACTAATATAGACAACTTAAGATGTCACAGTAAGGGAGCCTGATCACTTGTAAGAGGGAATATACTACATCCATAGATAGAAAACGTCTATTTCAACATCACTAAACAAACACGAAAAGAATTACTTATTAGACTGTGCGGAGGTAAAATGATCCCGTATGTTACAGTACACCACTCAGAGAAACCGAAAATCACAGACAAATACAAATGGGGACACACCATGAACATAGCTAAATATGAAAGATCAGAAGAGATTGTTCTAAAAACTTATTATTCGACCTTTTTGATCTTAGAATACTGTATTATATTGGGTACATAATGTGCACGAAATTATTCAGTGCAAGAATAATTGAATGTATTAACTAAGTAATTTATAGGCTATTCACAGAGATTACAACGTGCGCGAAAATTCTAAAGGATATTTTGCATCACGGAAGGACCATTGAGTAACAAACTGCACTTGATAGAACTAATTTGAAGCTCGTCATTGACGAATATTCACGAACCTACATGGGACTAAACCTATAATTTTTTGGTCTCCCAGTAAACAAGCTACTTTTAGACCACTTGGCTAGAAACAGTAGTCCGTATTTCCAACTCTAGGCATATCTTTATATGATACTATCTTCATCAAGTATCACCGTCTCATTCCTTTTACGGTTGACTGTACAGGTCACATTTACCATTTTTGATCCCCACCAATGTAATTTATCTAGTGAATGTAGCATGTTTTCTTTGCTTATTCTCTTTACTAATCTTATTACGATTAGTGACATTCTCACTATTTTTTGGTTTTATTCTTACAAATTTCCATATTCTATGTCTTAATTATTGGTAACAGTTTGAATAAATTATAGTAGATCTAAATGATTGACAAATTATTTAAACAATGTATTCACATTATTTATGTACACATAAAAAAGGAGGTTGATTTTTGCCGACTATACTGTTGGTGAGCTTGGCTCTAAAATGGAGGTGGGCAAACTATGGACTGTAGGGCGAATGTGGCCTACCATCGAATTACACCAAGTCGGCGAGACCATTTAGGAATATTGGTGAAGCGACCAGAAGTATGAAAATTTTAAATGTTAGGATATTACATTTGAGGAACTGAACCACGTTTATTTCCCATTAGTGAACACAGAAACGATCCTGATGGAATCTGCTTAGCAATGTTATTTCCAGGTTTGGCCCCTAAATCGTGAATTTTTAAAGACGTTTTTTAAGAAACTCAAACCATCGAATCACATAAAGCTAGAAAATTACTATATTTAGATAGAACTAAAAGAATTGAAATCTGACAAGAGCCTAAATAGATACTTCAATTATGCAACAAGATTGACTGGTTTCATTTTGCAAATTGACAGGATAATTGACACAATCTTTAAAACAACATGTATGAACCTCATTAAGTCGAAATTCAAGACGTCAATCTTGGATCAGTTCATATATTAGTGTACACAGATCTATTCATTTTATAAATAATGATTTTTCTTTTTAACATCAATGACTGAGTATACATCAATTATTTATTTATTTCTTTAAGCACATAAATATTGGTATAAGAAAGCACCAGATACATATGCGCCACACAAATCTCACTTGATTTGTGTGAGGGCTGTGATACTGCCCAGGTGCCCAAACTGAAGCGGGTGGTTTTCTTAGGGGGCCACACCCAGAGCCTTTGACTTAAATGTCTGATCCACAAGGCAGTGGAGCATCGTGAGGAAATGAAGTCCCATGGTAGCCAATTGACCAACAATTGATTCATACGCCATTTGTTCCCTCAGGGTACTGGAGGTCATGTGCACCATTGGTCTGGAATGAGGGTTTTCCAACTCCCCTAGATCGACCCTGAGTGTCCACCGACCCGGTTAAAGCGCCGGACATTCGCTTTTCGTCCTCTCAATTTGGCAAACAACACCCGTGGTGCGAGAAGGCAGTGAGTAGGACTTCTCTGACAGAGGCTATATACGCGTGGCAATGTGAGAGCATTTGGAGAGGGAGGGCGGACTCTACCCATTCTCGGCCGTACCAGGGCATTTGGAGGCTATTTACTCTTAACATAACTAATAATAATTGTATTAATAATAATACAAGTTACTCAATTTTTTTATCATCCCCTTCGTTCTACTCTAATTATGATTTTTAAAAATATTTCTTGATTAGATTTCTAATGTTCTCAATGTCTTGTTCTGTTGTCAACTATTAATTGCCCTTCCAATTCTCTTGGTTTTTGCTTCTACTACTACACACATGCACACACACATATATACGTTAATGTACACAATGTTTTCTATTCTTAATTAATAGTAAACTATCTATTTAACATTTGTCTAATTATACTACTGATAGATAGGCTGAGAGGCAGTATTATTCGTATTGTTAGCAATTCTAAACTTTTGTTTTGTTAATCAGACATCTAATTGTTCATAATGATGTGTATTGTCTGTGTATCCTGACATCATTCCTGTGTTTTACTATGTGTATGTGTGTGTGTGTTCAAGTAGAAGCATAACCATCTGTCCACACTTGATACATAACAACAAACACATTGTTGTCTTGATTGACATACATTATGTTTTGTTTCGTCGTTTGTCTGCTTAACCTATACATTTAATTTCACTTTGCGATAATCATATTCAGTTTCAAGTGTTCTCCATGATTTCACTTGTGCACATACACACAAAAACATATGAATATTTGTGTATCAAGAATTAAATTATGGCTTGGTTGCTATTACTATTACTCTACTCTTTTGCCTCCAGTCCTTCTTACGTTTTTCCTTAGTCACATCTACTGTCTCTCACACACACATATTTATACACAACTTCTGACTCATTTTGTGAAATAGTGTATGACATTCTAGATGACTACCACTTCAGTCTTTTTCGAAAAAACAATCAGCATTAACATGAAAGAATACTTGATGAAATCGGACATGATTTTAATTAAATATAGATTAGTTGATTCGTTGTTGTTATTGTTATGTGTACTGGCGATGATAAATCTAGTTGCTGCGGCCTAAACTATTGAATCCCAGACACACTAATACGTTTTTATTGCTAATTCAATGTGATTAGATTTTAGGGAAAATGGTGGTAACGTCTCTGACTGTGAAGCTGAGTGACACAGGATCGAATCAGTCAGGGAGCATCAGTTCCCTCAAGATTACAGGTACACCTTGCTGACGAGTGCCAAGTAGCACGAAACCCGGGTCCAGGGTTTCCTGTTGACCACCTCCAACCACCATCTTAAGGCAAACACCTTTTAGAAATGATATCTTGGAAACTTGAAATAACGTTAATTAGAGAGGATCATTTGGAAATGAAAAACAAAAAAAGTTCACAACGTACAAACATTCATCCCTTATATGGAACACAATACTGTTAAATCAATTAGTTAAAATTCAGTTAGGCTGTAAATTCCAAAATTGAATTGCTTTAGAAACCATCTAAGTGATATGAAAGTATTGTAGTTACACTACATGTTTTAAAGGTTACTACTAATTTTGATCTTGCAAATGAGATTGTTAATCGACATTGTTGAAAGGTTTCAAACTGGAATGGAACAATTACCTAATACTATCTGATGATGATAATCAACCTCAGTATACCACCTTGTTGATAGGTTTATAGAACTTTCTGTTTTATAAAGTATATTGACAAGGAGGTGGGATTCTACTTCGGTAGAGATAATATTATTCAATGAATAATTAATCCAGTGTTTACTTTCTATTACAGACTGAGGTTATATGAATTATTGATCATATAAATTAATAATTTGTCTAGTCAAAGCTTCTATTAACTAAACGATATCTTCAACTTTTAAAGTCAACGACTATGTATAGGATAATATATACCACATAAGATGAACGATATATACATATATACTGTGTGGTAGTCAATAGTTTAATTTGTTTATGAGAAACTGGGTTCGAACTCGTAACCTAAAAACCGACATTCGAATATTTAAACTCACTGAGCTACAATTGAGTTTCGACTCGGATATAATGGAATGAAAAAGCAAAATTACTGGGTTTTTTTTTACTGATTCTGATTTTTGTTCTACATTATTTCCATGTTCTTTGCGTTGTGTAAATTGCAGCAATTGTATTGACTTGAGTTTCGGGCGTTTTAACATTCACTGTGAAGTAATCCGTGGAATTTGTTTGGTTCGAATTTGAAACCCCATCACAGTGAAAAAAACGTTGAATTTCAACTCTGACTGAATCATACAATGTGCTCATTATGAAATCTAGATATTTTTAGGTTCATTAAAGAGACTGTTACCAATTCGGCCTTTGAAAAGCCTGAAGAGTCTAAGACAAAATATTTTATCAGCGCTTCTCAGTTTTCAGTAGTTTTTCAACGGACGTTATCATTATGTGATGATGTTATTTATTGTTCACGTTAATTTAAATAAATTGTTGATATGTGTTTAATTCACTTGACTGTTTAATTCTGCACTGTTGTTTACGTCCTAATTTAGTTTTTGTAACTATTTATCATTTTAGGCGGTTCCTTAATCCAAGGTCATAAACTGACTGGAAGCAGTGGAACACATCGATTAACGTTATACATTGCTATACCGACTACTATATTTTTCATATGTTTGTGTGTAGTAACTTACTGTTTGATCAGTCGACGTACAGCTCATAATCGACGTGCATCTAATGTTCGACATCAGCGTAATTATTTTAATGCTGTACAACAATCACAAATTAAATCATCTTCAGTGGCAAGCAGTAGTTCTATTGGTGTATGTCGTAATGGTGGTATAAATGGTCATACTACAATCCCCGGTGATAATCGTTTAAGACCATCTCCAGCCGGTACAGCATTAGGTGCTACATCAATAGGTTATTCATCAGTCAATGGTACCAATTCCATGAATGGTGGTAATAATAATAACGGTCCAATTAATACACAATTATCACCTCCAAATTTTCAAGTTAATTTACACGGTACTGTACCAATGATACCAGGAGGTTATCCTGTTTTAATTCAATCCATTGGCGGTAGTCAACAACCAGCATCATCACCATTTTATTCTGTCCCAGAGGCTAGGTCATTATCAACGTATGGTCAAAATATATCGCCTGTTACAACTGGGAATAATTCAGAATTTATTATGGGTAATATGAATACAAATACAACGAACAATAGTAATAGTATGGCTTGTTATCCGAACGGTTTAATTTATCCTGTACCAAGTGGTCATATAATCAACTCAAATACTTCAAATCTAGCATCAAATCCAATGTTCAGCTCATCACCGGAGTCTTCAACTTCTGGCAATAATAATAATAACAGTAAAATTGAACCGGTTGAAGGTAGATTAATGTTTCGTCCACAACCAGCATTAATTAGCAATTATAATTTAAATAGTAATTCAGTGAACAATAGCAGTAAAACTAATAGTGATACAATGAGACGTTTTGGTCAATCAATTGGAAATAATAATACCTCAAATTATGAAATGACTATCACTAATACACCATCAGGATTATTGTCTTATCCAAATCATGCTAATACATAATATTCTTATTTCTATGTATCTATATGCTTCTTTATATATTTGTCTATATGTATGTATGAACTGTTTATGTAATTTCAGTTTTCAATCATAAATAACAATAGAATGATAAATCATAATAGGAAACAGGGTATTTAACAGGTTTCTTTCTTTCGCTCTCTATCCATTCATGTTTATCATTTATGATAGAAGAAATCAATCTATGTATATGTTTATCTTGTTATATATTTATTTTATTGATGTGATGAGTAGGAAAGAATATTGTTTACATACTTGTCCCCCCCCTCTCTCTTTCTTCCAGTAATTTTCCTGTGCAAGTATATGTTTGTCAGTAGTTTCTATGGTTTAGTTATCCTTGTTCAAACACTTGATAAAACTTTCTCCACAAAGAATTCTACGATAGTATCACCGTCAAATTGAAAACACAACGAAAATTAACAAGAATAAGGCGAAATGACAATAAACAAGACGGTCATCTCTATGGATGAAAATCCTATACATACATACATACATACAAAAAACGCATTTGTCACTGACAGAAAATATATTATTATTTCGATTCTCCAAGTGTCTTTCTTGTTTTAAGAAAAACCATACCTTAGCAACAACAATAATAATAATAATTACTATTAACAACAAACAATACTATGCTTGTACTTTTATTTAAAATTCTTCTTTTTCTACCTTTCTTACAGTGATACGATTATTGTTCTCTTCCCATTCCCACCCCACCCCCTAACAACAAATACTTGAGAACAACAAAACATAATCACTATTAATTATTTGTACAAAATGATGGAAATAGGGGTGATGAATAAACAAATGTTTGTTCAACTTGGAATTTATTTATTTCTATGTGTGAGAGTGTAATATTATGAAATTACACAATAGGGGTGACAGAAATTCAAAATTTCATTTCTCTCTCTTTTTCTTCTAGTCAACTAACACTGTCTCAAATTTGTTTTTCGATCAAAATTTTAAACAAAATGACGAGGCCATGTCATAATTTGTTTGTTTCTTTTTCTTTTTGTTTTTATCGGTAAACATCTTCATTTTCTTTAGAACTACTATTAGGTCATTTAGGATGTATCACATTACTAATCAGCTGATTTCTTTCTTTTCATTGGATATTTATGATGATTTTATTTTTGAATGATTACGATTCTATGTTATTTTCATGATTACAAAACGTATATTATGAATACATCACTGAACGAAACTTGATATCTTTTACATAACCCATCCATGTATATCGTAACTATGACGATTGACATTTCCATTCTTCACAGTCATGATATATGTACACACGAACTCTCTATACATTAAAGGACAAAACTCTAACCAATTATACAGATCATTTCAATGTTAATCCTCTATTTACATTCAATTATGTAATGATGGAAATGAATCTGCTCATCTCTTAATAGTTAGTAAAAACTCAAATGATTTCTCAAATTCATATATATATATATATATATATATATATATATAGAATGTAGGTTTGTTCTCTGAGCTGGATGGTTTGGTCGTGCTCAGAGAATAGCTCAGAGAACATACCTAAATCAAAATCACATATCTGAGGTACAAATCTTCTCCATCATCACATATTTTTAAGTTAAACTTCCTACATAACAATATATATGCGCACAGTGTTCAATCATGCTTTGTCTTTTTGTAGCATGATGATTATGTTTCATTTCAAACATTTAACCATCGGTTGAAACAGGGTATTTTGTAAATGTATTTGCCAAATTTATATAAAAAATTTTTTTCAAGTCTTTATATATTGAATTCTCCAGTGAATTAATTTACATTTGTTTTATGTAATCATAAAGTGTACTAGTACCATTATTATTATTACTATGACTACTACTAATACTACTACCATTGCCTGTTTTGAATAATATATTTTATTTGAAGAAAATTTTGGCTTCGTTTGTTATATATCGATTATCCTCTACAGTTAATCGCTTATAGGTAGGTTAGTTAACTAACAAGTAGAAAATGAGATTTTTCAAGAAAACCAAGGTGGAATGTGACTGTCATGTACTAAGAGTATCTTCAAAAACATCTACTTTTCATGGACCGGTTGAAGCTAGACATTAGCACCGTTGGATGACGGCTCGGTGGTTAATCGGTTAAGGACTCTGACACGAGACTGGTAGGTCCTGGGCTCGAATCTCCCGAGTGCAGGATCGTGGATGCGCGCTACTGAGGAGTCCCATAATAGGACGAGTTGGCCGTCCAGTGCTTCCAGGTTTTCCATGGTGGTCTAACTTCAATCGACTCATGATTTCAACTTTGAAAAATACATCTACTTTTGTTTGGTAGTATTATCTAAACATAACTTTAAATATATTTAGTGTGTTTAATGAATAAATAAAAGTAAATCAATGAAGGTGCAATACGAAAGTTTTTGGGAATATCAGTTTTAATCCTTATAAATAACTCTCAATTTATGACAAAATACTTGTCCTGTATCCTTTTCTACTGTTTAAAATATCCACGTAAATCCTCAGAAGTCAGGCTCTCTAGATTCCTCATGTTCAATTCCCGTTCATAAAGATATATATGTTTTTAAAAACAAACTAATGGATTCTGTGTGGGTATACAAAGTGACCATAATTAGAACAGCTAGTGCATTTATTGGTCAGACCATATATACGTATATATGTACCTGTGGTCGCAGTTTCTTGATATGAACAAGAACACCCATCAGCTCACTTTTCCAACTTATCTCGGCTATGTTTCTAATTCTGGACGGATTTATTTTTACCTTTCTCACAACAACTTGGACATATACGGATCATCACTTGAATGTATTCTGATTTTATGTCATTTTATGCCTTAAAAATAGTATTAATTAACAAATCAACAAAGAAGTTACTTTGAAAAAATGAGTTAAAATCTAAAGATTTTCTTCATGTAGATTGTATACGAGAACACTCTTCTTTGATGCTAAGTGGTTGGAAACAATCCACAAGAAAACCGCTAGTCATATTTTGTACTCGTTGTCCATTAGTGTTTAAAATATCGAGCGGAATGAGGGCCTTTGTGAACCATAAACGCGTGTGATCCAGCTTTACAGTCAGAATCCTTATCACTGAGGTATTTAATGGCCTTGTATTTGACTCCAGGTCGATCGTATGGTTGAATGTTATCGAAATATACATACTATCAATGCTCGCATGTAATCATCGACTTTAATAACGTTAGTGAAAAACGAAACTAAATAAGTGAAATACGAGAGTGGATTTTCGAATACATATATTTTGTACATTAACTGATCCGGACAGGAAATCAGAGGGATGAAGCGAACAGAAGAGAGTGAAGCGAAATGACGCTCAGTGGAGAAGGCTTGTGAGCCAATTCCATTTCATCAAGCGTTAATCGATATTTATAGTCACACAAAAGTTATAGGCATATAATGAATAGGATAAGAAGTGCACACTCATACACTTATATAAAAACAGTCAAGATTGATAAGCTAATAACTGACATGTTCAAGATGTGGTTTATGAAGAATGAATAAATCAGCCTGTCCCGAAGCTAGAATAAGCTGTGTGAACTTAACATTGCAACCAACACTACAGGTATTTTAACCATATACAAGATGCTATTATGTCGAGCTAAAGGATGTACGAAACTTTATCAAAATGAACAATTAACAATGTCTTTCATAAACTTTTCAATATTTTGTATCTGAGGCTTAATATCTCCGTTGTTAGATTTACAAAAGAAAAGTATCAGAAAATATCAAAGATTTGATTTGAAAATTAGACTCTAGAAAGTAAGTGTTCACCAATTTTCGTGTTAATCAAAAGATGAGATGACGAATTTTCACCTACTCTGTTTCGATTATTGTTTGCGACGTACGACGAATCGATAGTTTGTAATTATCTCCACATCATGAAGTGCTATGAAAACGGATGGCTTATGAACCTCCTCTTATTCAAATGAAACGATGGTTAAAACGTCCTCTTATTTGAACACACCAATTCCTCACCTCATCATAATGATAATCAACTGAGGAATAGAACAGTTATCTGACGAAAACCGATTGTCCAAAATGTTAATTCTTTACTTATCTTAATAAAGTTTTTAAGCATCCTATGGAGAGATAATCAGTTATTTTAATCCCTATGCTGTGTACAACCAAGTAACTGAGTTTATCAGTCCTTCGAGTAACCTTACTGTTATTATTATTAGTAGTACTGTGTATACTACTTATGTCGAAAGACATAAGTAGTATGTAACATTAATCAGAAGTAGAGTGCATGTCAGTAGAAGTTTAAGAAGGTCGAGTTAAAGAAAACAGAAAGGGGAATAGAAAGAAATTGTAAATTAAAAGAATCATATATGTATATATGCATCGATATGACTTGATAATACTTAATTTAACTTCTGGTTAAACATTAATGAATATGTATATTTCTAAACATATTTCTCTAAAAGCCTAGTCATGTTTTTCACTAGTTAACATATATAGATTCTATGGAAACTGGATAATTTTTAAAAAGGTTGTTGATTTGATTAGATGAACAGGCGTTCATGGGTACAATTGTTTCTTGTTAAAAAGTTGTTGTGAATATGATTTTCTTCTTCTTCTTCTTCTTCTTCTTCTTCTTCTTCTTCTTCTTCTTCTTCTTCTTCTTCTTCTCCTTCTTCTTCTTTAAACTAATAGCTGTATGAATATTTGTATGGTGAAATCATAAAAAAAGAAAGAAAGAAAGATGAATTTGTAAACATTTCTCTTGTTTGTTATTTATGATTATTGATTATTTAACGTGTAAATCAATTCCTGTTCAAGATGATAGTGAAGCAGCACACATAGACCTTCCTATAGATGTCACTCCACCAACAACCGAAGAAGTCAAGATGTCCATCAGACAAATCAAGAGCTGAAAAGCGGCAGGACCTGGTAATATACCAGCTGAATCAAGCTGGTGCAAGTACATCCAGCTGATGAGTCTCAAGAAAGATAAAACGCGAGTCCTGGATTCCGTTGCAAGCCACCATCATTATGCTTAAAATATTGCCTCGTGATGTAGTTTGGTGATTTCTTCAATTTATATCCTATCCACCTCCAGCGTCTTTCCCTAATTTCTTCTTCAAATGCAAGCTTGTTTGTTATCTCCCACAGTATACTTTTGCTGATGGTATCCGACCAACGGACATTGGCTGTCTTGCGTAGATAGTTGTTTGTAAACACTTGTACTCCTTTGATGATGGTTGTAGTAGTTCTCAAAGCTTCAGCTTCGTACAGTAGAACTGTATTGACGTTCGTGTTAAAGATTCTGACTTTGATGTTGGTTGATAGCTGTTTTGAGTTCCATATGTTCTTCAACTGTAGGAATGCTACCCTTAACTTGCACATCCTTGCCTTTACATCTACATCAGATCCTCCTTGTTAGTCAACGATTCTTCTCAGGCACGTTAATGTTTCCACCTCTTCCAGAGTTCCTCGATCATGTGTGATTAGTTTGGTGTTCTCTGTGTTACATTTTAGGATCTTGCTTTTTCCCTTGTGTATTTTGTGGTGTACTGCTGTAGAGATGCTGCTATATTGTCTATGTTCATTTGGCTTTGTTGGTGTGTATAGGATAGAAGAGCCAGGTGATCTGAGAAGTGCAAATCGTCTATTTGCATGTGAGCTATCCATTGTATTCCGTGCTTGTCACTGGTGTGGAGGTCTCCCTAATCCATTCAACAATCAGAAGAGAAAAAGGGAGAGTTAGCAACATTGTCTGTCCAGTGCTTCTTTTGCCTCAATTCGATCTTGGCAACCCCCAGGTGGTATTCTGAGCTATAATCAGCTCCTCTCCTAGTTCTCGTGTCTGCCGTTGACCTTCTGAAATTTTTAGTGATGGAAAAATGATCGATCTGATTCTCCGTAATGTGGACTGGTGAGACCCATGTAGCTTTGTGTGTGGGTGTTTGTATAAGAATATTGTACCGCCCATAGCCATTTTGTTGAATGCATTTAATTTTGCAAATCTCTCTACATTCTTGTTCCTTTATCCCAGTCAGTCCATGTCGTCCCATGATATCTTCATATCCGGTGTTGTCCATTCCGACTTTGGCATTTAAGCCTCCCATCGGGATGGTGAGATCCTTTCTACGATGGATTGCAGCCTCTCATAAAACTGGTTTTTATTGTCTTCATTGCTATCATTGGTAGGCGCATAACACTGGATAACATTCATTGTGATTCTCACCTTTTTTGTTTTGAAGGAAGCTTTGATGATCCTGGACCTAGAGATTTCCATCCTATAAGTGCTTGACGTGCTTATTTGGACAACATCCGAGCAATTACTTGTGTGTGATGAGCATATTCTTCTTCATGACCATAGTATAGCAGCTTATCTGTCAAATTTAATCTTTTCTGTTCAGCTTGGGTGCAATGGGTTTTTCATCAATTCCAAGCAGCACCAAGTTGTATCTCCTGATTTTCGCAGCTATTTGACTGGTCTTCCCGCT